ATCTTGTTCTGAGTTCCTTGCCTCCACCAACAACATGTTTGCACAGTTACCAATGGCTTTGATCTACCGTCCACAAAGCCAGGACAGCTACCTTCCCGACGTCCCAAGACTTCGAGAACCTTCTCCCAAATATTCCTCTCGGGCCCCTGTACAACAGAAGCCCTAGAATAGTTCTTCTCCTGCTCATACTGGTGGAAACAACTCAACTCCTCGAGTTCCTTGCCAAATTTGTGGTAAAAGCAGCCCCGGTGCCTTGGACTGCTTCCACTAGATGGATTTCTCTTATCAAGGGCGACACCCTTCGGCCAAACTTGCAACCATGTTTGCTCAGACCAATGCAACCATTGAAGGCACTACCTGGTACCTTGACAGTAGGGCCAATAATCATATTATTGCTGAAGAAGATTTTTTGACTGACAAGCAACCATTTAAAGGAAGGGAAACCGTAGCGGTTGGTAATGGCGATTGACTCCCAATCTCCAATACTGGTTCTGCTCTCATTAAATCTGCACCCTCCACCTTTGCTATTAAAAATATTCTCCATTGTCCCTCTACTACATCTAACCTCTTGTCTATACAAAAAAAATGTTTAGATAATAGTTGCTATTTTAAACTATTAGCTTATCACTTCTTTATAAAGGACACCAAGATATGGGCAACTCTTCTGGAAGGCAAGAGTGAAAACAGGTTGTATCCACTTCAGTTGAATAAAAAACCGCCATCAACTACTCTTCTATCCTTCTATGTTGCTTTTCTAGGCATCAAAACTACCCCATCTGGATGGCACTCAAGACTCGAACATCCAGATGATAAAATTGTTGAATCTTACAACAATTTTAATTAAATCTTAGAATTTACCTATTTCTAGTTGGATAAATAGAAGTGCTATTTGTGAATCTTGTCAACTTGACAAAAGCAAGAAACTCTCATTTATTGATTCTAAGCGCGAAACACATGCCCTTCTTGAATTAATTCACTCGACGTTTGGCCGGCCCCCATCCACTCGACAGGTAGTTGTCATTACTACGTGATTATTCATAGATGACTTCGCTCGATTTACATGGTTTTATCCTATACGTCATAAATCAGAAGTATTTGCTAACTTTGGCAAATTCAAATGTCTCACCAAAAATTACTTTCCCACAAAATCAAGAAATTTCAAATCAATGACGGAGGTGAATTTAATTCAAATCAATTTTCCGCTTTCCTCAGTCAACATGGAATTCTCCATAGACAATCTTTCCCCAACACTTCAGAACAAAATGGCTTAGCAAAGAGAAAGCTACGTCACATACTTGAAATGGGACTCACCTTTCTCTACCAATCTAAACTTTCCAAATGATTTTGGATAGATGCCTTTAACAAGGCAGTTTACCTAATTAATTGGCTCCATATTCCAGTTTTGGCCAATATCAGTCTATACCAGAAACTAAAATTTTAGATGTACTTGCTATCCTCTTCTATGCCCCTATACAACCAACAAACTAGAATTTAGGACCAAATCATGTATTTTTTTTGTTATAGCTCAGGTCAAAAGGGGTACCGCTGCTTTGATCTCACTCTCCAATAAGTTCATATTTGTCATCACGTTGTATTTGATGTAGACTCTTATCCTGGATTGGTGCAGCCCTCATCGCTCGTGCCTACTCAAGATTCGCCATTTGTTCCTTCACAGGTAATACTCTCTCATTTTTCCTCCACGATTTTTGCTAATAACCCTTGTATCTCTACTTTTCTACCATCATTTGTTCCTAATACACCTCTATCTCCACAAATGCCTCACAATTCAAATTTAGGTAATGTCATACCTCAAATGTACCCTTTCTAAATTTCTCGCCCGAACTTCTCTCCAATAGTTCATCACCTTTAATAACATCTACATCTTCTCTCTCTGAAGATCTCACGATCCCCTCTATACCTCATCTACATCATCATTCCACAAACCCGATCCAAAACAGGAACCTCTCGGCCAAAGCAATTTACGAAATTTACCTTGTATTATTCCACCAAACATCCCATAACTGCTTTACGTGTCGTGCTCCCTCAAGGGAACCAATCGACATTTACCAAGGCCTCGTTGGATGAATGTCATGCAGCAAGGACATGATGCTCTTATTCGTAATGGAACATGGACTCTTTGTCCTCAGCCTCACTCTTGGAATATAATTCTCACAAAATGGGTATACAAAACCAAATAACATCTGATGGCTCTACTGACCGGTGCAAAGCCCGCCTTGTGGCCAAGGGCTTCCAACAGAAAAGTGGGGTTGACTGCACTAAAAATTTTAGCCCAGTCATCAAGCCCACCACCATTCGGCTAGTTCTTGTTTTGGTAACTCATTTTCAATGGTCGGTTGGACAACTTGATGTTTCCAATACCTTTTTACACGAAATCTTACGGAAGAGGTCTTCATGGAACAACCTCAAGGGTTCATAGATACTCAAGCTCCTAATCATGTTCGTCATCTTCACAAAGCGATATATGGTCTCAAGAAAGCCCATCAGGCTTGGTCTTATCGATTGTCCACTGCCCTATTGGATTTTGGCTTCATTGTCTCTCTTGTGTATACCTCCCTATTTACTTATCACTCAGGCTCAATTCATAGTTTTATTCTAATCTATGTGATGACAAAATTATCACAGGTACAAATCATGGGTTTATTATGGACATTATTCGGCAACTCTAAAAGGAATTCCTTCTCAAGGACCTCGGACCCCATGGTTTCTTTTTAAGGATTCAAGCCACTCGAACAGATAAACAGTTTGCACCTATGCCACGCGAAATATATTCAGGATCTTCTAAACCAAGTAAAGATGATCGGATCTAAGCCTTATGCAGCACCATGTGTCTCCAGCTCCAGAATGTCCAAATTTAATGGTGAGATTTTATTGGACCCCCCTAAATACCGTCATGTTGTTTGTGCTCTTCAATAATGTACAATCAAAAGGCGTGAAATTGCATATTCAGTCAACCAATTATGTCAAAATATGCACAGCCCTACAGTTGCCAATTGGACCTCGGCCAAGAGAGTGCTCCGGTACTTGAAAATGAGTCTCGACCATGGCTTACTATATACCCGTAACTCTCTTTAGTTAATTGCTTACAATGATATAGATTGAGCTGGCAATCTAGATGATAGAAAATCCATTTCTGGATTTGAAATTTTTCTTAGCTCGTCTTATATCTTGGGGTGCTAAGAAACAAGCTGTTGTAACTCGATCTAGCAGGGAAGCTGAGTATCATGCCGTGGCAATCACCACCATCGAACTTTACTAGCTCCGAATGTTATTTAAAGAACTGCAAGTCCCACTCATCTCACCTCCGGCTCTTTGGTGTGATAATTCAAGTGTTCTTGACCTTGCCTCCAATCCCCTTTTCCATGCAAGGATCAAACATATTGAAATCGATTATCACTTTGTCAGGGACAAAGTTGTCAAATTTATTCCAACGGAACACCAAGTTGCTAATCTCCTCAAAGACAAGCTTCAGGTGTCTACCCTACCACTTAGTCTGAAGGGGGGAGGGGAGATATTTCCATATCCTAACCGGATCCCATGCGCGAGATCACGGATCTTGTGCCCGTGACAGATCTAGTTTAGAGATGTCTCATCAATCTTTCCTAATTGAATGTATAGCATGTTTCATTAGCTTGATTTTAGGGATATTTCTATTCGTTTCCTTTCATTGTAAATCTCTTTAATCATGTATATATACACATCGTATTGAGTATATTGTATAATGGAACATTTTCCAATAATGTCTTCCATTTTAGTTAAATCAAATATTCTTATAATGACGACTTGATTTTATTAATAATAAATTATGTATGACAAAGGTTAGTAATCGTAACAAAGAAATGATATCAAACAAAGCATATGGGACTTAAGAAATTTTGCACAAATCGTCCTTTTGTATAAAAATGAGTAAAGGGTATAAGTGTCTTTTTATTAAATACATATACGTTAACAGCATGAATGGATGAAAACCATCTAAAAGAACGTTTTGAGGGGATCATACGTTGAGACCATTTTGAGGGGATCATACGTTGAGACCATTTGTGCACGAGAGGAGACATTAGCCCCAATTTTCCATTTTTTACAAGTAAAAAAAATGTGTTCACGATCAATATATTTACTCTAGAATTAAATATATCTTTTACGGAACCAATTAATCGAATAAAAATAAAGATAGGGTCTCCTTCTACGTGTAAGTTCTGATGGCAATTATGACATTTTATGGTTTGTATTTTATTTTAGAACTACTGAACTAGACTGTCTTTCAAATTTTAAACTGTTTAAATTAATGCAACATTTTCACCAGTTGAAATATTCAACAGTAATGTCACACACCGAAAACCCGAATTTAACACATTTTTCAAATATTTTCGGCCTAAAGAATTGAACCAAACCGCCGTTTCAACCCGATTATTCTCTTTTATAGAGAGCCATCCAATTGGTGCAACTTTCACACTATCTTGCAATATTATCTTCAATCCATTACATCATATGGACAATATTTTCTTATTTTAAAATTATCAAACAATTAGTTTATTTCGAAAATTATTTAATTACAAATTATATTACTGCTCTTTTTTTTTTTTTGGGAGAATTGTAAATAGTTCTTTATTTATGTAATAGTCATACAAATAAAATAGAGCGGGTCTCTGGTATGAGTACCATAAGATCCCGAGTTTAATATGCATTGGCACATTTTATCAAAATTGAAGGTGCAAAAAAAATAAATCAATGATCCAAGTGAGAGCGACATCGAGGATACAAACATAAATAAATTAATTTGTTTCATTTCTAACAATTTAAACTTTCAACACGATTTACACGGAATATATAATTTACCAGTCAAGAAGCACGATCCATGCGAAATAAAGCCTAGAGAGTATATTTATTATCTTAAAACGATTCTAACTGCATAAAACCATCACTGAATTTACAAATCCAAGTTTGCTTACCGTCTTACACCATTCAAGAAACACCAATGGCCCTCAAGTTCTCCATTGCATCTCTATCTGAATCCGGCCATTTTTCGAGTCGATCAGGTGGTATCTCTCGTTGATTCGCTTGTTTTGAACAACGTCCGAGAGGTATACATCCACATAACCCAGAGTTTCCTAACCGTCATAAAGATTTAAACATCGGTTTAGTATAATGGTGGTGTGACAGGACATGCATTTGAACAAGGCTAATGTACTCGTAAAAACCTCTAAAATTAAAACATCAAGAATGAGTATACTTCACATTTTCGATCATCAGTATCTGTGATGTAGAGTTTGCCCATTTTAACAAAATGGAGATTGTGGCCACCTTTAGGCTGTTGAGACCCTTGGGAGCATCACGTAGATGCTAAACGAAGGGTTAAAAACACTGGTTACTGGACTTCTAGCAAAATTTAATGTTTATTAGTGACTTACTAACTACTTGCAATTTGGTTTCACTCCATCTATATCTGTTAATGCTTTTCGTTAGTCAATCTAACGAACAAAGACAGAGTAATTAAACTACAACTAGGCTGCCATATTAGTTTTTCCGTTAGTCAAACTAATGGACATAGAGGGATTAATCAACTTATAACAAACTCTGGAGTGACCGACCCCAGTTGCAAGTAAGTTCACGTTTAGTGACCTATTTTGAACTAGTGAATTTGAGAGACCAAGATGAAATTTTGCTTAAAGTTCGGTGACGACTAGTGTTTTTAACCCACCAAACAAATCTATGCAGGAGTGACAAGGATGAAAATTGATGAGGGCTATAAGTACCTTGGGGTGCAATAGACCCATTCTGGATGAAACACTAATTACTTCAAAATGAATCCTTTCATTGGTGGGTGGCTCCTCCAGCATAAACTGAAAATCCTCATTCCATCTTGGATCTCTGTTTTTCTTCACTGTCTACAAATTTCCAAGCCATATAATTAAATTATACATCAAGAATTTTAATCTGTGTCAAAACCTAGTAATTTGAAAGAAAACGTCAAAACATAAATCCACATCTACATAAGTTGCATTATACAACTTTTATGGTATGTTTAGTAAACATGGACTTCAAAGTACTGAACAATACTAAGAAAGAAATAGAAGTTAAAATCTTGCTATTATATTGTCTAATCGTATTTAGTACCATGTACCAACCATGTCGATATGGAATTAGAAAACTAATTGATGTTTTGCTACAAAAGAACTTTGGTAAAGATGGATTTGATGGTACTGGACAGTATTAAGACAAAAAGTTAAAAAATCCCACTTACTATATTCTCTACTCCTATCAAGTACTTTACCAAACATTTCATTAAGGAATTAGGAAACTAACAGATTTTTTTTGGTTCAAAAGCTTCTTCGAATTGAACGTGCGGCAATAGAGAATGGAATGATACAACTGGCATAGACAAGCCATTTTGTTGTTTAAAAGGGGGGAAAAGCTCATTTTGCTGCTGCCAGCAGTTGATGCCAAAGCAACGAAGTTTATCCAATCAATGTTCATTTCACAAAATATAGGCAAAGACAAATAAATGTACTACCTTAGTTTTTCTCTCCTCCCCTCTGAAAAGTAGACGGACAGATGGATTTGTGTGGTGCTTCCCTTCTAGATCTTGAGCTTCGTGGACTATAACGACAAGCAAACCACCGCCTTCAGGCACTCCTTCTGGAGCCTTTTCCACTGCGTTTGTATCTTCAATACCATCTGGTATGTCATCATCCTTGAAAGGTTTGTAATTGACTTCAACTACAAGTTGCCCTCGAGACTTCTCATTTTGAACATCCTCTGGATTTAGGTTTTTAAGAAGATCAAGAGTCAAAACTTTTGGCTCTTCTGGAGTAAGTTCTTTTAGGGGGACAATGTTCAAGCCCATCTTGTCGTGTGATCCAACCTAAATTAAAAGGGAAAAGCTTAAGAAGCATTAGGAAAAAAAGGAGGAAGATGGGGACAAATAAAGAAAGTTATGATATTCAAAATAAGCAAGTTACATATTTTGGAGGAACACAACAGTTACTTAAATATTGAGTGTCTTTTTGGAAGTGGCTGTCCAAAACATGTTGGGAAACAAAAAAAGTTACTTCTAAGCTTAGCCAAATAAATCAGTAAAGTCAAGCAAGTTAATCTCCACCGAACTCAAGTTCATACACACATCATGATACATTTCATAATAATAACTAAAAAAGAATATACCTGTTCCCAGTCATACACTGAAATCTCTAAAACTTGTGATTCTGGGTCCTTGACAACAATAGTAAATTCCTCATTCCATTCGGGGTTCAAGTTTTTTTGTTTCACGGTTGTTTTCTTTGATGAAAGTTTTTCTTCAGAAAGTTTTAGCTTCACATAAGGGTCCGAAGCCCCCAAAAGATCTTTTTTCTTAAGTTTCATTGCCCTAACAACCTTCACATGAAGAATCCCGACTGCTTTCTTCATTGCTCTGTCAAATGACCAAGTAATATTTTGTTAAATGTTAGAAAAAAATTGTTAGTCTGAAATGAAAAGCTCGGAAAACATGCGAACTTACTTCGAGGAATCCATTATCGGAACCTCGAGTCTTTTAGGCCATAGATACATATTGGCAACCTGATTTTTTATAAGTTCCTGAAGAAGCACAAAAACTCACGAGGATCAAAACCATATATCATCATAAATTCTCAAAATTATTTCATAAGCCACTCGGTCTTTGTCCAACTCTTGGTCATAAGCTGGCATTCTCGAAATTATTCCATTAAACGGCCTTTTGGATTCAACCTTTGAACTGGAGAAAACGAATGAAATTCTGAGGAACTTAAAAGGGTAGGAGAGCAAACATAGAATATCACCTGAACAAATCTGTACAGCCCAGGAATTGACATAGCATCAGCACCTAGCAGCTTCAGTCCAAAGTCAACATGAGGCTGCAAAGAGAGATTTAAACAAAAAAAGATTGAAAGACTTTCAAATGTATAATATTTGGCATTTAAACATAGTAGCAAAAGAATATTATCTTTTTTGATAATTAGTGTATATAATTTCTAATCCCAAAAATGAGTGTATAGTAGAAGAGAAGAAGGGATGCAAATTTTCTCCAACCCTGCTAAAATACGTTCCTTATATTCCCCTTAAATATTATTATCAACTAAAGATGAGTCTGTCAATATGCACCTTTTCCATAAGAGAAACAAATATATTTGCAAAACAAGGGATGCTGGGGACCAGCGGCTTTAATGTGATACGTGGAGAGGCAAAAACTTGCAAGTCGAGCACCTGAAATACTTCAAAGAAAATTACTCAATGAAGGAAATTATTCAAATGCAACAATGCTCAGTAAACTAAGCAGATTGTGGTACGAGGTCAGAGAGGGAGAGGTTTCTACGTATGAAGTAACAACAATATGTTTATCCAACTATTTTGTTTCTTTCATCATAATTGACAGAACCAATACCTGGACTGTGGCCTTTAGACCAAAAGCCTTCACGACCACAATGATGTTTGGATTACCCGCCCACTTCAAAACTGGTTCCATTATTAACTCCTTCTCCTCCGTGGAATAAACTTTCATTCCTGGAATGATATGTCGGCTTAATAAAATGATACTACGCTTTATTTTAGAGAGAAAAAGCTGAAGAAAAAGAACAGAAAGAAAATGATTGAAGCAAGAAGCATTAGTTCTTTAGGAACCAATCATTTTTGTTATAGAGATAATAACATATCCCATTTTCTCTCTTTTATTGGTAAGGCCCAAGAAGATTGAAGTCACTGCAGCGCTGGAAGTTAGTAACAAGGAAGCTTTATGATGGGAATCATATCTTGAAGAAGCAAAGGAAAAAAAAAAAAAATAAGGCAACTAAAAGATAAAAAAAAGGAACAAATAATAACAAATAGAAAAGTAAGGTTTTCATAATTACCAATAACAAAGAGAGCTTACAATGTAGGAGAATACAAAAATATCCTACATATACAAAAATTCCATAATGCAACAGCCTCAACAACTACAATTACTATGTTACTTTTGACATGTTTTGCAAGGTGGATTAAACAATTTCACATGCCAAACATGCCCTTTATGTGTGAGCAAGTTTTATTACATAAAGGCCGAATAAAAGTTCTAGTTACACTTCTAGGGAAGTGAAAATGGAATCTTTCCTTCAAATAAATACATTGCAAAAATATTAGAACTTCTAAATTTATATGGTTCTCTAAAAACCAAGGTCGAGAATGAGCTGCTAAACCTTGAAAAGTAGGCGGTAGACAGCCCAAAGTCAGTGTTTCAAATTCCACCGAGTCAATTTTGTATTTTGGAATTTGCTCAGCTATGATTGGTGCTGCTATTTTCTTTGCCATCTTGCAAATTGCCTGAGGACCTATAGTTGTCAGTACTCAATTCAAAAAGGAAGAGTTATGACAAAAGCATACATGCAAACAAACCTTGTCCAAATATGGCCACATAAGTTCAATGAATTTGTTGAGCCAATCAATCTGCAAGAGAAAAAATAAGACCAAGAATATCCTATTAAAATTATCCAATAAAGTAAAGAAAAATAATAATTTACCCGATCATAATCTGGATTTTTTATCCAAAGGGGTATCTCTGGGAGCAGCCGCTGGAGACTCTTAGAATCTTGCTCAACTAAGGGACGAACATCGGGATCCTAAACAGAGCACATTTCAATGAATGAACATAAACTCGTCTACATTCGTTCTTTAATAATAGAGGGGCAGATAGTAAGCCATTTCTGTTTTCCCTTTTACCTTGTTCTTGATAGTAGAATTTTCATCATTTCATTAAACTCATCACAAGTTTTATCAACTCAAAGTAGTGACTGTAACTCAACATGGAAGATTTGGAGGAAAGTTTCGAGGTCTAACAGTTAAATATTGCATGTACATAAATGCAAACACTTCTCAATAACATGAAATGAACGTGGGAAAAAAATCAAATTATTTCATTAAAAAATCAGTATTAACATGACCACTAGAAAAAAATGTATAGACAACAATTATGAAACTAAAGACAGATAAAATTAGGAGCAAGAATTTTGACTACAGGGTACTCCTTACTTTCTAAATATTATATTCCAACCGTCTAATAATCTGAGTATTATCAGAAATATGAGTGCTCAAGTTGTAGGAGAACCTTCATCATAATCCAAAGTGTTCAGACAATAAACAGTAAGAATATTTACAAAATAAAGATAGAATACCATTAGTGTGAATTGTGTCTAACTTTAACAGATTTACACAGAGAAATAAAGCTATATGGAACTTCATGTCTAATTTAATAGATATGAAATGCACATTTGGACAATGAATCACACATTATCGTGATTCACCTGAGTTTAATTAAGGTCAACTGAGAAAATTAGTTCAAGTGTTAATGAATCGTTTAATCAATTGAAATTGTCCGCTAAACCTTGATTTGTTTCCTTCAATTACAGTGCAATAAAATGTTTAAATAAAGAGTTTTGGCAAAAGCAAAAAACACCCTTGTGTTGATAGTTTTAAAAGTTTAAGCAGATGTGTAAACCAATAAATAATCCATTGTTCTTGAACTTCAGTTCTGAGTTTTCTTTTTTTCTTAAATGGTGACAGGTCTGGATTCCAAGGAAGGTGTAGTCGGGATTAACTAAAATTTCTCAAGAGAAGTGTTGAAATTTCACCCTCCCTTTAGACCAATATACAGAAATGCTGCCTAAAATTGCAAACCCATTAGCAATTCCCACGTTATCAAACTCCACTGTTGTATCGAAGAACAAATAACAAGCAAAAAATTAAAAAAAAGGAAAGAACTTCAGACAAAGATAATTCTCAGAAAGATCAAATGTAACATAATACATAGAATCATGTAAACAATGATGCAGGAAAAAGAAAACTGACCTTGACATCAGTTGGTTGGGTGTAGATGAACATGAAATACCCAATCACAAGCCCAATTGAGGCCCCGAATCCGAACCCGAAAACACCCAAAATTGTACTTACTATACCCATCTGTAATTTAAACCCCGGTTTACCAGAAAAATTCAAGAAAACATGTGCTAAGATCCAGAAAATAGGAGTAAAAAGAAGATAAAGACCTTAATTTTCCTTTTCAAGAAAAACAGTATTATAATGTTGATTAACAAGAGCAGTATATTCAAAAATTACATTGCAGGGAATTAAGTAGTAGAATTCAGCTTCAACACATCAAGAAAACATAAGAAAAATGAAGATTGGGACCCTTAAAATTCCATTTTCAATAACATCAGTTGAAGAATCTTGATTAACAGGGCGGAGGGGACTGATGTCCAAGAATTACATGGCAAGAGACTTTTTGCACAACCTTTAGCGAGAGAGAGAGGACAAAAAAAAACTTGTTACACTCACAAAAATGGGAAGCAAATACTAGAAAATGAGAAAATTGTAGAGATTAATGAGATATTCACATTTTATCACATCCATTATGAGGAGAGCAATAAATGAAAATTAATTCTTGGCCGTTCTTGAAATAGTTGAGTTGGACGACCCATTGGATCCATACATAACCGCTTTTTCAGCAACAAAGTTCTCCAATAAATCAAGCGCGTGAAGTGCGTGTTGAGAGTGGCTGTCGGCAACGTCCCACTGTATTGGCTTTTATTCATACGACAGAAAGACTGGCCAAGTGCGGTAAACTATCTTTGATTTTATCGTTAGATTAGGATAAGAATTACTGTTTGTATTCCATTGTTGCATTTGATTCTTTTGTCGCTTTGTTTTCCAAACCCATCAGTTCTTCAAGGTATGAACAGTCACCTGTTAGACCTATTTTCCTTTCAACTCATTTTTAAAGGTTGACAGTTTGACAGAGCATTAGAGTCGAGTTATAAGTAGTGTTCTGAAATACGCACATAAAAATGTCTCGCACATAGGGTATGTACGTCATAATACGATCAACTCATTTCGTTGACCGCATATGTGCATTTAAACATCAAGATGAGCATTTGTGTGAAAAAATTGTGTCTAAATTAACCTAGCAGTCCACTTTTATAATTTAAAAAAAAAATAAATGGTGCCCAACAAAATCAAATTAGCCCAAATCACACATGCCCATGAATTATATACAGTAATCAATAGGGTAGAATTACCAGACAACCCTTCCAAAGAATGAATGTAATGTTATAGGGGCGCATATAAGTCATTTTACTATAAAAATGATGGCTATAGGGTGTTTTTTCAACAATTGACACTGGAATTTCACGATCAACATATGCAGCCTCTCCCCCATTCACTGTGTAACGATCTTAAAATCCATTAAAATTAGAAGAAGAACACCACTCTCTTAATTATAAGAATTGATAACCAAATAATTATAGTATTTATGATTTTGAATAATATGTTTTGTTGAAAATTTGAAGAATACGTATAAAATTCAAGTAATTATAGTATTTACATTCTTGAGCAATTTTTTTTTTTTTTTTTTTTAATTCGAAGAATATCTATAATGCTCAAATAATGCATTATTTATTTATTTATTTAAAATATTTAAAATAAAATTGAAAATTGAAAAATGCATAATTACGGATATGCTTATAATGCTTGACGCTTGATCAAAATGCATCATCACTCATTATGAATTTTAAAACATTGCTTATAAGCGTGTAAGAATTGTGTTGACCATAAAATCTAGCTTAGGCACTTTGCTTGAATATAATTTTGGCTATGATAATATGCGAATAGAATGTGTTGTTGACAAGTGATGGTAGACTGTGTTCACCTCCAAATTAAGGTGGGATCCAACTATCAACAAATTCAAGCTCCACTTCTACCCACAGGTTTGTTACTTATGCACTCGAACACCAATTTAATTAGACCGCAAGTGATCGTAGCTTCAGTAAAAGTGTGATGATCGTTGACACTCTGATACTCCAGTTAGATGATGGAAGATATTAGGTTGTGGGAGACAATGAACGAGAATTTGATTGTCGGGTTGAAGAGAAAATTACCAATTTTCATTCAAAATTGCATTACCTTTGGATATCATTATGCGAGAGTATTTATAGACAAAAGAGATAAGTAGGGGTATATATATTGGATGCTTGATACATAATCTCATCCCAACATCTCACCAATCAAGCTCCATTATGTCAATCTCTAGCTGCAATAGGCTTGCGGCCTCAATAGCTTGAACGTAAGCTAAAAAGTTGTTTGACAAAACAACACCACTACAAAGATTGTCGCATCACTATCAATCAAGTGTACTATGAGACAGGCATAGTTGAGGTAAGGCTTGTGGAAGATTCTAATCATAGAAGATGTCCATCACTTAGGGCATTATCCCATCTCTTTGGAAAACACATAGAGAAGAGGCTATATGAAGCGAAGTGCTGATCATGCAGGGCTCTTGCTTGGTTTTTGCTTAGCTAGTTGTCACATTATGAGTGTATTTGGGACACATTCTTTTAAAAGAATGTATTATTGAATAGTAGATTGATGAAGAATGTGTGGTTAAAAATGAATGAAAAGTTATTGATGCGATAAAAAATATTATTTTATTGAATAATGTGTGGTTGCAAATGAGTAGAAAAATGAGAATGAGAAAGAGAAAAAAAAATGTGTACCAAACAGGGCCTATATGCCTCGTCCTACGAGGCATGACATGCTATATTTATAAAACCTAGAGGAGAGAAAATAATAGCTCACTAAACACGTCTTCTTGTCTTAAACACGATGTTGTCTTCATTGCGTTTGTGATACAGTGTCTCTCATAATCTCTATCACGAATCAAGTCCTTTGAGTTTCAAGAGAAGACATGTAGAGATTATTTGTGCCATGCTTTCTCTAAATGATGTAGATGAGTGGTTACTTCGTATGGCTGCTTTTGTTATTGTATGTGTTGTGTCAAATCTAGGCCTAGCATCATCACCTCAGACATCACGATGAATCGCTTGTGAAGCTAGACTAATCCTTTTTGGCAACATCATGATGAATTCTCGCACTACAACCACAACATTTTGGCAATCCAACACCATCATGTGCACATCAAGCCATTGATCTATAGAATAGCGAAGCATTCCCCTACAAAACGACAAGAAATATTCCAACACCAACGTACCAATGACCCCATGTTACTGCAGCATCTACATTGCAATTGGTCGCGAGTGGGCGTCATCTCCTGTTCTCAGGCAGTTGAGACCTTATTGCTTCTTACCAACCATTGCCGACATTTATTCAATTTCAAATAAATGAACATATCCAAATATTTTGTCTCCCTTTAAAATTAAATTCTACTCATTTTCAACAACACGTTCACAAAATAAAATATTTTACACGTAAATCTAAAAAAATTTCCTACTTATCAATCATACATTCTTAAAAAAAAATCACTAATAATTCCAACATTGGCTGTATATGATAAATAACGAATAAAGAGAAAAATTAGGAAACCTTTCTGTCCCCAACCCCACATCTTAACTGTATTGTTGTGTAGCCGACATGCTTTGAAATCCAAATTCAAAAGTTATATGAAAATAACATTTAACAGTATCAATTTTGATAAAACAATAATATCTTGGTCGATCATGCCCCTAACTTATTATTAATAATAAGAGTATAAACCATATTTGACTCTTCTTTTTTGAACATAATGTTATGTGAAATGAAATCGACTAGAAAATGTATCGACGAAACTACAAAAGAATGTATTATCATAATTCAAGATCGTATTTTCTAAGTTATAGGTAAACTTATAAAATAAGCTCTTGTTTAGTAAGAATTAAAATCAAAATTTTAGCAAATTTTAATAAAAGTTTATGTATGATTGAAAAATTATAGTTCCCATAAAATATGTGATTAAAATTTATTATTAATTTTGATTTAGATTTTATATTTAAATTCGTTTCGAAGCTAAGTTCCTTATATTTTTTTTAAAAATAAAAAATATTATTTTTTAAAATAAAACTAAGTCAAGCGTGCTATAAATTAGGATACGTGGGCATCATAGCACCACAATATTATCATTTTCAACTTTGATGAATCCTCGCGAGAGAGGCACCTTATCCTCCTTCCCATCCCAATATCTATTATTCCATTTTTGGGTCCTAGGCTCAAATAATACCATTAAATATAATGGAAAACAAACACAAATAATAGATTTTGGTGGAAAACCTGGAAAATATTTAACCACCAAAATATCAAGAATTTATTTTTCTCAAAAAGGTGGAAAATTTGAAAAATTTGGAAAATATTTTCCCGGAAAAATTTTGCCTATCAAACATTACAAAAGTTGGAAAATGGAAAAAAAATGTATGCTATCAAACGGGCCTTAATGTTTAATCCTCCCAAAACTTTTAATACACTACCATTTAAAATCATTTTTGCATGGTTGCTCTTCTTAGACTAGCAACTTCACACTTACTAATGCAAAATATGCTAGGGAACGGACTCGAGAGCAGTTGAGATTCCTCAATACAAATTTCCTCAATGAACGCTCTTCGGAAGTATGCAAAGAATTTTACCGCATGTACAGTGCAACTAGGTGAGACATGCGCGGAAGGTACAAAAATTATATGCCTGGATGATCTACAGCCACCACTCTGTTGCCAAGAGATTATCTTAGATGTTCACAAACCTGAACCCCTGAATTCGTACAGATTTAATAATGGTTCAACTGAGAAGGAAATCAAGTAAAAATGAAATACACTGAGTTCTAATATCCAAGAACTATAGCAGCCTCATGTTCTATGAGTTATGAGTTTCCCTATGTGCGCAGACTGGGCAAGTATAAAAAATAGTCTGCCCTTCATCAGCTGATCTAATCTGTAAAAAGAAAATGAGGGACGAGTCTTGGATTAAAGAAGAAGATATGAATATCAGAAAGCAGAAACAGCTCAATAATTACAAAGCAAGTTCGATGGCTATGTGCATAATGGCAATGGACATTACCTGTCTAGCAACGTAAGCCATGCCCAAGTGCTGACAGGCTCTACATTTTGCGTTATAATCCTGTGCAGCAAAAGTAATACCGGTCAAAATTAAAATAGATATCACAAAAACAAGAAATAATAATTGCAAACGGCACTAACCATTTGTTTCAGTTCCTTCTCTTCTTCGATGTCCTCCAATGAAGACATTCCCAGTTCCCTTCTCATATCCTATGAAAGANGGGTATCCGCTTCCTCACATGAGAGTGGGATCCACATGAATAAAAAATATTTTCTTTAAACGGGTCCCACCCCTATGGGGGGGGGGGGGGGGGGGGGGGGGGGGGGAAACCATGGACAAAAACAAATAGAAATTTTGAGCAAGACATCACGAGTGCCTAGACGTTGAAGGAGGTAGCAATTTAATTATCAATCTAGCTGATTGCCTAAACAGTCATAACTTGAAAGGCTCATACAGATTGACAGAACAATACAGTTTTAACAGGCTTTTAAAAGAACGTGTAGATCTTGTGGCGATTTATTGCAATTTTCTTTCCATTTTTCATTACATATCTCCGCAATAGTTGATTTAGTCTAATTATAACTTAGTATAAATTAATAACAATGAGAAACGAAGAACAAACCTAAATCAATGTGAAATGGATGTAGATTAATTAAAACTCATATAAATTAACGACAATATAAGCCACCCCTATAATTATATAGAACAAAAGCTAGTTCGTTGTTGATGTTGCTATTGTAAAATAATGACTTCTGATGAATCTAAATTGATTTAAAGTAGAGGTTGTACATGGCTCGGTTCCGCTGGTTTTTGGCCTATTATCAAACCAAGGTATTTAAAACAGTTTTAAAAAATTCCAACCAAACCCTTTTTTGCGGTTCAGTTTGATTTTAAACCACAATTTACCTAGCAACATAAAAATAACACCATGTGGGCGGTTTCGTATGGTTAGATACAAATCATGAGCTCCCAAACTGGAAAGTCAAAACTAAGAAGCAGATACGAGCCTGATCCATCAGCTTTAAGAACAAAACTTGGCCAAACAAATGGCTGACCATAAGAAATTATACTTTTATTGGCTATGTACAGCCTTTGATAGGCACGCTTCTAAAAGTACTGATTATTTGTTTCTCTTCAAATGGGGTGCTGCCAACAGTTTTAACAAACAATTATCCAATCATAAAGTCATGACTTCAAGGATTGTTACTTTGATTGCGGGTGAAAAGTTGCAAAGTGTATCTACGCAAGTGCATATATACAGTTGTAGTGAGCATTAATGATTATTTAACAGTTCACTTGATTTCAAATGGCTTTTAGCTATTGAAACCTAAATCCTCTCTTAGAGGTGTCAAGACGGACGGGCCGGCCATGACCCGTGAAAACCAGGACCGCGGGCCGACCCGTGACCCGTGCGGGCGGTTCACGGGCCAAGGAGGTGTAACCCGNGTGACCCGCATGGGCTCGACCCGAATGGGTCAGCGGGCTGGCCTGGGTTGTAGTCCAAAATTGTGGGCCGACTCGTAACCGGCCCGGAACCCGCAGCGGGCGGGCTTTTTTTCACGCGGGCCGTTACCGAGCTCACATGTTGGCGGGCCGACCCGGCCCGAACCACCCGGATTGACACTTCTATCCTCTCTAAACGGATTGGTTCCATAAAAAGAATTTCACACTCCTCCTTCCGGGAAAAGCATAGAAAAAAACTTGAATGGTACGATCCCTCCATCATCCCAAAATGAACAGGCTCGTAGTTCTTGACATGTGAAGATGCGTTGTTAGGTGCTCCATTTTCTTTTCCCATTGAGGCAAAGCCTAAATATGTGTTCGACAAATAGTTGTCCATATACTGATAAGGGATGTATGAATTCTAAAAGAGAGAGGAGTCGTGGTGGTCCATTGGACCGCTTGAATTCCAAGAGTGAATCGAAAGTTGGATCTACATTAGATCTCACCCAAATCTCCCCATGGACCAAACCAATGGTTTCGGTTGGATTTTGCGGTTCGGCATTTTTGTTCACCCTAATTTAAAGTCATCTAAATCTTAAGTCCTTTAATATCTAAAATGAACGTTTTAAGTGAAAACTACCTCCAAAATCCGGTTGTCCTATCACAAACATGATCTTTATAGGGCATAAGAAGGGAAAGAAACCTTTTTTTTTTTTGGTGGCAGTGGGGAGGGAGGGAGAGAGAAAGAATATTGTGTAAAAAATCTAAAGTACTTCCTTTTTCGTTTGTTTTTATCAAAAAATAGATAGTCTCCCACTAAACTCCCACTAATTCATATCTTAAAGATGGATTAAGGGCTTGAGAATGCTATGTGGAAAAACCCAAAGTACTCCTGTTTTTCGTTTTTCTTTATCAATGAATAGATACTCTCCCACTTGACTCCCCCGACTCGTATCTTGAAGATTGATTTTAAAATTTACACATAAACATGTGCAGCAAAAGCCAGATAACACCATTTCGTCATTATCGAGCATAAGTGATATCCAATAGCAAAATTTTATGCCTCATTGCATCATGGAAAAATCAAAATTAAGAAACATTTCATTAACTTCCACAGAAAGCATTTGGCCAATACATCATAGAGAAAAACGATATATACAGTCAGCATCAATACCTCGGCAGTTATAGTGTAACGTATCGTTCTTCCAGAAATATCTGAAAAAATTATGGCAAAGAAAAATATCCCAGTGAACAAGCATACTACACAAAAAAAATTACAAACAAATTTAGAATGGCATTTATAGCATTTATAATTTCACTGACAACCAAAATATTATAGTTCATAATCCCTAGAAGACTGAGATGTATCATTTGCTCTTCAAACATATCAATCAAACACTTTAATTCATAAACTTAATTCTGAACTGATTTTACCATGTATATGATGCAAAATCATAAAAGCGGGAGCTTGCCAGTTAACATTAACAGATTAATTTTTTGATCCCCGTTATTGCAGTAAATCCAAATATATCAGGTACACAGCTACACCTAAAAATAAATAAAAATAATTAAAGTATTTCAGTTAAAACAAAAATCTCTTTCAGAATTTAATTTTCCAGCACCCAATTTTATAATTCCAATTTCTAATAATAATAATAATAATCAACAACAACAACAACAAATGCTTAACGAAAAAAAAATTAAAATTTTAACTAAACCCTAATTTCCAAATCCAAAGATTAATTAAAAATGAATAAAGAGGCATACCTTTAATGCGTTTCTTGAATTTGCACAACGGGCATTTAGCATACTTGGGCGAATCGAAAGACAGCATTGTTCCACATATTTCGCAGAACATGAAGTCACGCTGACGACTGTACTCCGTCATACCCTCCGCAAATTCTCTATCCGAAAAATTGGAGATAGAAAACCAAAATTGTAGAGAAGAAGGGTATAGGGATTAATTAGGGTTTAAGCCAAATGCAAGAGTGAAAAAAGGCGCAAGTTTTTTTCGGAAGTAGGAGAAAGATAAATTTGGGCTATGACGTAAAATTTAAGGCCCATATAAAAAGGAATGTTTCTGTCAGCCCAATTTTAAATGGACCATAATCAGAGGCCCAAGAGTTCACTAAGACGATACTGCTTACGAAGCCCTTAATTGCAGGAAATGGCACCAACGAGGGGGATGAAAACTATTTTAGCACTATATTGTTAACTTTTTTTGTATTAATGATTGAAAAGGAAAGAAAAATTATTTACTTATTTAAATTTAATTTTTAATATAACCTTTAAAGCTAAGTTATATTTATAATCAAAGATATAGTACGTGAATATAAAAAGTTTGCGTGATGTGATACCATAAAATCACGTACACCATATTATAAATACACACCAATTAAAGTATATTTTCAATAAATACATCGCTATTAATTTGTTAATATAATCCTAATCAAATTTAAAAATGAAAAAAGGAAAACAAATAATAATTATATTACCACTTTTTTTATTTATTTTTTGATATACCACTTTTTATAAATACACTGCATTTTAATTTTATTTTAACCTTTATACGATATCACATAAAAATCTCCCTTACTTTTCCCACATTGTTCACATCATCAATTATATTAGAGTATTTTACAACGATGAACAAATATTTAGTCACAATTCTTTATTGACTAATTATATTAACAATACAATTTTAGGTAACTACCAAATATTTTATTTCCAATGAATATTTTCAATCTTTGCTCATTTTTGCACTATCCTTAGCATTTTATAGTTTTCAACATCTTGTCACTTACGAAGGTTTCCATCCAAATAACTTTTAGATGAATATAAAAATCATTATTTGTCTTTCTTATTTTCAATAACGAAAATTAATATAAAATAAAAACTTTGAAAAAATACATGTCCTTCATTTCGATGCACGTATTAGAATATTTGGATAGAAATCGTTATTGGAGATAAGAATGCTAATTAATTGAAGGGGTAATGAATAAATGCTACAAAAAAATTGTTAGCATAAATATATAAATTTTAAAAAATTGGGGACCTTCATTAAATTAAAATGTGTTGCAAATAATAAAATTGTGGTGTTAATTGCCTTTACTCTATAAATATGAGTGACAAATAAGTCATTTTACTCCTTTTTGATAGAAAATAATTATCATCGGAGATAAAATGTGCTAACTGACGAAATGTTGATGATAAGATATGATGGAAATGTTGAGGACATGGTGTGACAATGGATAAATTCTATGGATTTTCATACAATTAAACTGTGATGCACTTGTTAAAAATTGAAGAATAGTTTCGTTAGAACAATCTTATATGCTATGTGGAGTGTGTAGTCGCTAAAAATGATGTCACGTGTCTTTTATGGTAGGTGGATTATATGCTTACATGGTATTAAATCTTCCAATTTAATATATATATATATATATATACGTGTGTGTGTGTATCTTTTTATGTATAAAAAGTGACTATTTAACGGAATTTGTTGGTTTAACGGAAAAACTAACGGAAAATTTGTTGTTTTAACGGATTGTGTAACGGAATTTCTTGTTTTAAACAGGCAGCTGCATCTTCATTCAGTGTTTTTATCATAACTTTGTATTCCGATATCCGATTGACGCGATTCAAAATACGTTGGACAGC